CATGTGTGATTTTTAAGTTGGACCACTCTTACATTTTTTATATTAAATGTATTTTAAAAAGATTTATAATACATAGAATCTTTGAAATACTTTAATTACAATATCTTTTGATATCTTTTCATTTAAAATATAATTATATATATATATTAAAAATTTTGAAAAAGCTGTTTAAGAAGATTTCAACAAGATCTTAATTTTCAAAATTATATATAAATATTTGCAATACTTTCGTGATTAGTTTTGAAATATTATTATATATTAATATATTTAGTTATCATTATTAAAACGCAAATAAATATTCTATCGCTTTTTATCTATTATATAATCACAATCAATCATATTAAAAGAAAATTATTATCTTGATCTAAATGTTTTAACAATACCTTAATTTTAAAAAAGTGTATGTAAAAATTTTCACTAATTTTTAGTTAGAAAAGAAATATTAATATGGATTAATATATATATATATATATAGAATTTTTGTTTATAAAATTAAGAATGAAATTTATCCTAATTCTATCTATTTTATAATCATAATATTCAACCATGTAAAATAAAAATTTTATACTGAAATACATATTATAAAATTATATTAATTTAATAGAGTTATAGAGTTTATTTTCATAAATATCAAATATTTATATTAAATATATAATATGCTAACAGACTACAATACATGTATAAACATTAAAATATTTTAAACTTTTGTATATACAATAATTTATTATGTAAAATGAATAAACATAAAATATTATTAAAAGGAAATCGAGTTTTGAAGACGGTTCCAAATTTAACATATATTAAACACAAAATACTTTTCAAATATGTTTTTTCATGCACATATTAATTTTTTTGATAACCAAATACAAATACAATAAGATAAATATATAATAAGAAGTAGCAAATACATGTAATTATTTTAAACAATTGATTATTTACAACATGTAAATTATATATTATTTTATTTGAAATAGTTATATAAATATTTAAATATATAATTAAAATTAAAAATGATCTAAAATAAATATATATGCAGATAAAATTGAAAATAAAACCCGCACGGTTGTGCGGGTCAAGATCTAATTCAAATTAAAATGCTATTGAAATTTCACCCAGTAGCACAAAAGATGACTTTTACATTATTCAAGTTTTTTTTTTCTGAACTATTTTTCGGCTAAAGAAAAAAAAGGTTACAAGCATAAGACTAAGTAGTTATCGAGTCCAGCCCAAATAAAAGACCCACATCAATTACATTATGAAACCAAAAGAATTGGCTCCCAATTTAGAGAAGAGAAAGAGACGTTTCCATTATTCAATTTGATAGAAATATAGTGAACACTGATCTTCACATAATTGATGATTACACACATGGAGAAAAACATAATCTTTATTTTTTTTATAACACTTGTAACAGAGAAAAGTTCAAAGAAATACATAACAAAAAAAAAACAACAAGAATACAATGGAATGTCATTGGACACCAAAAAGAAATGGAAAGAATCTCACCAAAACCCCTTACTGCTGAGCCTCCAGAACGAGCAAATGGTGAAGCCACACTGATGACGCAGATCACGAGTGACACTTAAGGCAATAGCCGCGGCAGCTTCATTACGTTTAGGAAGAGCGTACTCCACACTCCATGAATTTATCCTTGCCAGAAAGAAAGAGATATTGTGGCGGAGAATGGTGAAGTTAGAGTGATCGTCAGGCTGTATGAGAACGGTACGAAGGGTCTCCGAGGAAGTTTCAAAAATTATATTGGAGAAGTGTAAATTTTGCAAGCATTCAACCGCCCAAAAGAGAGCCCACAAGTCAGCCTTTGTTTTCGAGTGCATATAGGAATATGCTCGGCGACTATGCATAATTGTACAACCATTTTCATCACGTAAAATCCATGAAGCACCACTAAGGTGACTTGAATTTACCCATGAGGATCCAACATTACATTTGAGGAAGCCAGCAATCGGTTTTTTCCATGTATTGTTCACTGTATCCAAACCATCTCTCGATCCTGTGAAGGTATCGAACCATGTTGATTCTTCTTCATAGGCCTTCTTAGCAATAAATGAAGACTCGAGAACCTTGGTTTCAAATACAAAAGCATTCCTAGCTTTCTAAATCTCCCATAACAACCATGGGAAAACTTGACTTTCCGTACCTGAGCTCCTCGACATCCTGATCAGGTGCACAAAATTGAAAAAAATTGAAGTCCGAGAGAAACCTCCTAAGGGTAGTGGAAAATTAGACTATGCCCAAGTGGCACGTGCTTTATCACAAGTAAAAAGAACATGGCAGATAGTTTCATCACCAAGACCACAAATTGGACATGTTGGATCAATTGGGATACCCCGTGTAGTCAAACGTTGCTTGACAGCTAACGCACCAAATAAAGCCCGCCACATAAAGTGTTTAATTTTTGGTGGAGCTTTGATCTTCCACAGGTCACGCCACAATTGTTTTTTATTAGGAGTGATAGAGTTTCCATTAGGGTACTCAAAACCCACCAATGCTCGAACAACTTATACCCACTACGAGTGGAATATACCCCATTTGGTGTAAATCCCCATTTGATCGAATCCTCAATTACCAATGATGGTTTTAGAACCTCCTAGGGATAAGAGACATAGAGCTAAAGAGAGAGCCAAAAAAGGAGTAAAATCCTTTGAACATCCTGTGGTGTAAAGGTCTGATGCAGTAGATTAATATCCCATTGGTTTGACCCCTGCATGAATAAACCTGAAACCTTTAGCGTTAGATTTATTGGGCTACCCTCACGATACATTGGAGAACGGGGAATAGTATCAATAATCCAGTTTTCAGCCCATACATTAGAATTAGCCTCATTGCCAATATGGCGATATAATCCCTTTTTGAGTAATTTCCTACCGTGCATGATACTCCTCAATGCATATGATGGGCATATCCCCATTCCACACTCAAGAAAATTACCATTTTTTAAAATATCTATACTATTAAAAGAGAAGGAGTCTAAATAAATCTACTTAAAAAAGTTGTTTGGACCCTTTCATTATACTAACATTTTTTTTATCTTTCCTTATATTTTTCTAACAATATTGTACAATAACATTATATCATATAACTTACCTTATATTTCTCTAACAATAAATTAGTCAATATTCTTATTTATTATACATTACTCTTATCGGTCAATATTTTTATTTCTCCACAATACATTATTATAATCTTATACCATATAATTTCATAATACGTGACTGATTTCACACATTAAACAAAAAATATATCATTTGCTTGAGCCACCAACTGTGCAACAGTACCCTCTATCATTTCCATTGATTATTTTTCATAGCTGATGTTTGATAAATAGAGAGTATAAAATATATTGAACATCTCCATTCACGATAAATATGTTTAAAACCAAGCATATTATTATTTTTAGAGTAAACCTATCTGTAACATAGTATATTGTAATAATACAAAAATCGGTTTATTATCATAGTATTCTAATGTTTGGGGATATTTATACAAACAAGTTATAAAATTAATGATTTACTATTCTAGAGAAACTATTTTAAAACATTAATTTTGTTTAAAAAGATATCTAGACTCGTGAAAGATTGTAACTTATAATTTCAATATTTTCATGAATAATCTAATTTCTATGTATTTTCAGTGTGGTAATTTCTAATTTCCAGATATGTAGCGGGTAGGCTTGGATAGTTAGGACTCAAAATACCAATAAACCCGAAAAATATTTGAAAAATACTTCAAACCATAAATAAATACTCAAAATATATTCAAATATCTGAAAACCTTGAATTTTACCTAATTTGACTCGAAAAACAAAATATACCCAAAAATTTGATTTGNCTAATTTCCAGATATGTAGCGGGTAGGCTTGGATAGTTAGGACTCAAAATACCAATAAACCCGAAAAATATTTGAAAAATACTTCAAACCATAAATAAATACTCAAAATATATTCAAATATCTGAAAACCTTGAATTTTACCTAATTTGACTCGAAAAACAAAATATACCCAAAAATTTGATTTGAATATCCAAAACAATATATATATATATATATATATATTTTAGAACCCGAAACCTAAAACTTTAACTAAAACTTAAAAGAATATACATAATATCAAAAACATATATGAAATATCCAAACATATATAATAAAAAAAAAATATTGAGTGCTTTTATGTACCCGATCGGGTCTCGGTTATGATCCATACTAGAATCGATTCCTGCGGGTCTTTAAAGATAGCCAGTAAGTACTTTATCATGGATCCTAGCCGAACCTATATTTTCGGGTCGGTTTGGTCATGTTTTTCGATCCGGATAAAATGTCAAGACCTAGAGAGAGTTACATTAAAAACTTACATATAAAATCTCAAATAAACTAATTTATAAATTACATAATTTTTCAAAAAAATCTATTTTATATATTAAGATTTGTAGCCTAATAATGTACATCATTTCTAAAATACTAAATCATATCAAAATTAGTTTATAATCTAACAAAAACCCGCGCTTTTGAAGCGCGGGTCAAAATCTAGTTTACCTTTTAAAATTCTAGAAACTAAAGATTCAGGATTATGTCGAATTCTATTAGTCTAGAAGTTTTTTTTGCCGCATCATGGAACTGGAATTGAATCCTCTGATTACAAAATCTATTACATTAAATACACACCCCGCAAAATCCGCATTGAGAAGTCACATATAAAATAAAACCGAAATTTGGGGGTTTTTTTTTGGTCAAGATCTTATTAAAGCAACAAACGGATCAATATTTGAAATAAGAGAGAACTCAATACAGACTTTTGCTGCAATCTTGTTGTTGATTGACGTAATTATATACAGTATTTTTTTTAATAAATGCTGTTCATATCTAAATCATAGAGTAAATCCAAAAAATTAAAGTAATAAAACTATATAAAGTCCGCTTTGTTCGATTTCACCATCATTATTTTAATTCAAAGACCGAACGTTTCAAGTCTCTCTCTTGTTGAAACAATGTCCAACTCCAACGAGCCACCGGAAAAACAAACTACACATTCTCCGCAGCTGTCTCTTTCTTCATTGCCTGACGATATCATTCTGAAATGCTTGGTCGGCGTCCCAAGGATGTATCACCTAAACGTCTCATGGGTCTCAAAACACCTAAGATCCCTTGTTCGCTCGCCTGTGCTCACCGTCTTGCGATCCACCCTCCTCCCCAAGAGCTCCCTCCACGTATGTTTCGAAGAAAATAACAAACACACAACTTACCATTGGTTTACACTCAACGAAACGGAGTATGGTTTTGTTCTGAACCCAACTCCCTTCCCTTCTCATCCTAGTCACGGTTCTTCAACCGTTGCAGTGGGGTCTTCAAAGATCTTCTTCATTTGTGGACCTAGAGGAAAACCTTCCACGGATCTATGGATCCTTGATACACGATCTCGAAACATGATTAAGGGACCAAGCATGAGCGTTCCTCGAGTAGCTCATGAAGCAGCTGTTGGTGTAATCGACGGGAAGATACACGTGATGGGAGGCAGAGGGTTCAACGAAGAGACCCAAGTCGAAGTTTTCGATCCGAACTTGGAGACTAATTGGGAGCTTGCGGGGGTGGAGAAAGTGCGTAAGAGTTCGTTCTTTTCACAGACCAGTGTGTCGGTGGAAGGGAAGGTTTATATGGTGGAGTACGAGGAGACCAGCGTGTACAACCCGAGGAAAGGTGAAGGAGAACCAAGGATGGTTCGGTTTGTAAGCGAGATGATCACGGAAGGTGGAAGAAAGAACAAGTTCACTGGTATGGCGCATAGCGTGTGTGTGGTGGAGGATGTTCTCTTTGCTTTCTTTAAAGAGAAAGGGTTGATGTGGTTTGATACAAAGCTCAATGTGTGGAGAAGATTGTTGGTTCGTGATGGGAAGCAACTGGTTATCTCAAGTGTGAAGGGGATGTCGGAATATGACGGAAGGCTTGTGGTTTTTAACTACAGGACCCCAACGAAAGCATTGTGGGATGTCCAGTGTATATTGGTCTCACTGGATAGAGTTGGTGAAAAGATTTGTGGGACGATTGATTGGTCTGGTGTTGTGGCGACGGTCCCATTTTTGTTTAGTTTTCAGCATTGTTTAGCTGTTCCCAAGTGATTGATTAATAATATTTTCTAGTGTTTGCAAACTAGAAAAGAGATTTATCATGAACCAAAATAAAGAAATAAACATGTTTTCAAGTTTGTGGAATACACAGCTTTACAAAAGTATCGTGACACAAAACCATACAAAACTTCGCTGACCCAAAAACCAGAGCACACAAGTTCAAAGGAGTTGACAAGCCTGTTCCATTAAACTGGGTGAATAAATCAACTCCATCACCGCCTTTTCTGTACTGCCTCTTAGTAAGCTCTCCTTTATTATCTTTCTTATCCCTTTACGTGTTTTGTGGAATGAAGAAGGGAATCCATCAGAATCAGATAGTGGCGGCTTCTTGTTGATTCCTCTCTTAAGAACTTTACAAATTAAATACGTATGTGGCTTATTAGTATGGATGAGGTTAGTTAGTCCCTTCGAGTTTTAAAAGGCACAAATGTAAACTTCATAGATTTTCAAGAAGCTAAGTAGAAACTTCATGTAAATTTAGCACTGATGCTAGATTGGTATAGTCTTTTCTTCAGGGAATAGGCACACATGCTAGTGTTAAAATAGTATTGTTAAGGAGGCCTTTGTAGATATTTAAAAGAGTTGAATAATCTGTTATCCTACATCATTTGGTAAAGAGAATTGAAACATAACTGAAAATACCTTGAGGAGGAGGAGAGTACCAACAGGCAACAGGATGTTCTTGATCTTGATACATCTTCTTCACTGCTAAGCACTTATCTGAGGTGTATTTATTTATTTATATCGAAATCTCTGGCTCCAGTATAAGCATGCATTTTCAACAAAAACAAAAACACGATCTCCTATCTTTTTTTTATTATTATTGTATCTAAGAATATATATATATATATATATATATATATATATATATATATATATATATATATATATATATATATTTGATCAAATATATATCATAGGTTTACATTCAGTCATTCAACAAGCTTCGGCTTCAAGGATATTATATAACTAGTGGTGTATCGGATTGTCTATTTTTTTAATTAAATATGAATATTTTTTTGATGGTAATGTTGTTTAATTTGATACTAGGTGGTTGCCCGCGATTTCGCAGGTATAAATATATGAAAATTATATATTTTGTTTACAATTCTATAATTTTGAATAAGAATCATAAATATTAAAAAAAATCTTTTAACTTTCAATAGTTTGTTAATCAAACGCTTGATATTATATAATCGCAAAAGTGTTTCAAAATAAATCTTAGAAGAGTTTTGAGATGTAGTTATAATTCTATAAATTTTATTTAAGTTTTCAAATATTTTTATGACATAATTTCTAATTAACATAAAAATGAAGACTATTGAACAAAAAATCTATTTTATAACACTTTCTATTCTTTATTTTTTAGCTACACTTTATTTTACTTATTTTCAAAATAGTTATAAAGTTTTCATAATTTTTCAAATCACAAATCACTCTTTCTCGTTCATTTTATTTATTTATTGTTTAATATAAAACTCAAAACTGGTTAGCAAACAAATTTGCCCTTAAAGTATCTCCAATCATCACACTATTTTATCAAACACTCATTCATTTGATCAAATTTTTTTTATTAAAACAAACATATTTTAAATATTTTTTAAATTTATTATTTTCAATTAGTTTAATACATATATATTTTAATTAAATCTGATTAACTAATTATATATAAGAAAAAAATATTTCAAATTTTAGATAAGTTACTGTCGTTATTTTAGACGTTTATATTTAATATTAATGTGAGATTTAATATTAAACCAAAATAAAATGTTTTTATTTTTATAAAATTCTTTTATTTTTATAAAATTTGTTAAAAATTTATTATCATCAATTTTAAAATCTTATTATATCGCAAAAATACATATCATTATTTTTAAAATATTTTTTCTTAATATCCATTTACGTTATATTTTTCATCTTCGATCTTATCAATTGTAGAACTGGTCATTTTATTGATCTTCGTTACTCAATTTAACTCGATGTTTTAAAAACACATGAAATTAATTACTCACATTAATAGTAATACGTAAAATGCATGTATCTCGACAAACAAATAAAAATAAATATAGAAGAATATAAAAAACCAAGAACTCAACAAACATACTTTACTATTCTTCCCTCCTATTTTTTTATTTTTGTTTGCTTTCTTTTTTTCTGTTAAAACATAAGCATGTAAACTTTATTATAATAAAAGCTATATGAGTTATATTATTAGAGTATTAAGTCTCGTATTAATATATGGTTCCGGTTTTAATTTTCTATTAGAATAAATATTGATAATTTTATATAACTTACCATATAATTCTATGATTTCAAATAGAAATTATCACTTTATCATTTGTAAAAGTGATAATTCAGCTATAATATTATATTGTCACTGAAAAATGATTGAATTTTTTTTAAAACTGCATATTATATTTTGTTTTCATTCATTTGACACATTTTAGAATATATATATGTATAGTGAGTGAGCTTAAATAATATTATTAAGTTTAAATTAATTAATTTTCTGCATTCAACAATTTATTATTTCTCCGAGTAATATAAATATATTTAAGATAATTTATATAATTATTTATATAGTATCATATGTATTTATATGTATGTTATCAATTTATATAAGTTAATCTATAATATTTAGTTGTTTCTATAAAAAAATTGTGTTATTTCATTTACATTTAAGATGTTTAATTGTTTGTTTGGAAAATTGTCTTTAATTAAATAAATAAAAAACAAAAAACCATCAACCAATCAAATTATAACGGTTAATTGAAGAATGCTCCTATGAATGACACGTCAGCATTAGCCACTAAAGTGACTTCTCATTTAATATATAGGAGGATTCTGTTGATGTAGTAATTTATGTGGAAACGGCTATTTTCTAAAGTGTAAAAATATTGCTTTATGGAAGTTATAGAAATTTTTGATGTTAGACATAAACTTAAAATTCATTTTTAGTGTTTAATAATGTAGTGTTAATGTGCATACTACTAAACTATATATATATGGGCTATTAGTAAAACTGACTCAAAACATAAAATCAGTACAAAATTAATCCATCTCAAGCTGTGTAGAAGATAAAAGCTCTGAGTAAGATGAAGCATTTCTTGTAGCAGACTATCTCAGGTTTTGTGGCAATAGTAGATAGACTCACTTATGACGCATGGGCATCGATAGGAGTTATCCTAGATATGCTGATCTAGTGGAGTCGATTAATCATTTTCTTTTTGAAGAATTGAAGAAGTGGCTCCACTGAGACCACAATTCGATATCTTCCCATGGATATGTTGGTACATTTGGAAAGCAAGGAACGACAAACTCTTTAATGGGAAAGTCGTATCCCCAATCGACACTCTCCAACACGCTTTGTTTGAGGCAGAATGTTGGAGAAACACTAATGAAAAATAGGAAACAAACGAGGATCATGACAACCCTCCTTTTACAGAGGTCGAGACAGTGCCCCCTTAAATACCCCAAATCCCTACCTGCAAAATTGATGCGTCATGGGTCGATAATAACAGTGTCAGTGGCTTAGGATGGAGTCTTAAGGATCATATGGATTCTGAAGACTTCGCATTACAGGCATGTAAAAGGAGCTGCTCAGTTTTGCATGCTGAGATGGAAGGTTTACTTTGGGCAGCCTCATGTATGAGAGTCAGAAGGATAACTTCAATATGGTTTTGAGACGGACTGTTCGGATCTAGTGGACATGATTACAAAGCCGGAGGACTGACCGGCTTTCAAGATAGAGATCGAAGTGTTACAGAAATTACAGGAGGATTTCGAGGATGTGAGCTTTCGAAGATGTGAGCTTGTCTCATATTCCTCGGAGTAGAAATGGTCGAGCGGACGAATTAGCAAAAGAAGCAAGGACCATAGGCTATATCTTTTTCCATATAGATTATACCCGGTCAGATGGAGGTGCTCTTCAAAGAATCGGCTCGTCTGACTACCACTTGATATAGTTTAGATGGGCGGCTAACAAAAAAAGGATATACTAAGATTTGTCTGCGCTACACACATGATATGCTTTACATTTGATATATATATAAATAAAATCTTCTATATCTTTTTTGCGTGTATACTTATGTTGGAATTTGCAAGAAAAAATGTATAATACTTTCATGGTTTTAAAAAATGTTAAAGTGTGAAAGGATTATGTACGTTAAAATTAATTATATTTGATTTCATTGTTTGTATCTTTGAATATGTTGCGGCATATAGGTTAGATGATATTTACATGGTCTTCTATTTGTTGCTGAATCCATAATTGGTTGCTTATTTGTGGTTTTATATATTGTGGGTCCTTAAGAATGTAAGTTTGTGGTTCTCATGATTATCATTTTTACGAAGGGAGTGGACTCCTAATAATCTAATTTCGTAACGGTATATAAGAGTCTGAATATGATATTGAAAAACTGAGTAAAACAACCAAGTATAATGTAAAATAAATAATTGTGGTCGTTTAATTTTTGTTTGTTTTTAATCGTATTCTTTCAACATCTCAATCAAGTTGATATGTTTATAGAATCTTAGAGTTTATAGCTAACAAATTGAAGTTGCATCTTATTATATAAAGAAAGTTTTTCTCTCTTTTTGATAGCGCCATGTCATTAAATAAAGACATGACAACATGCCACGTGTCACTTTAGTTACAAAATTATTTGGTTATTGGTTTTTAAATAAATGTCAACAAAAACTTTATGATTAATAAACCGGGACCATCACTACCGTGTCTTCTTCTCGCCAGAGCCACCATGGTCGTGTTTCCTCTATTTCATTGAGCTTGCCTCCACCGTCTTCATCGTCACAGCCGTTAGAGCAAGGTTGGGTCGAGACAGGAGAATCAAGTACTCCAATCTTTTTCTGTTGGTCGTTTTATTCTTTACGGACCGGAAGCTTCAAGCATTGATGAGAACTCTCAGATTGTTTAGATCGGCGTTTGGATTGAGTTAGAGAGGTCGAGCAGAACATATTGAAGGATATGGGTTCTTCACGTCAACCGCTCTGCAACTCACGACACGACACATCAATGGCTAATTTCTGATATTTTGCACTTTTGATATCTGAGCTTTTAACAAATTTCAGTTTAACCCCAAAACTTTAGTTTATTGCAGAAAATCTTCAAAATGGCCCTAGAACTTATAATTGTTTTTTCAGCCCACTGTTTATGCACTATGTACTAATGAAACGTCTAATGACATCTAAATGCAATTCTTAGACACTAAATGATCAAATTGATAGTTAAAACCATATAAAAATACTATACATCTCCAGCTCTGACAAGGCGGCAACACATGAAAAAAAGATGCTGCTCCTACCTCTGAAAGGATTAAGCTTTTTCTATAGTTATGTTGTTTAATATTTTTGGTTAACTAACTATCTCACAATTTGGATAAATGCGAACGAAGCTCATATCAGTAAGGGGAAATTGAAGTCTTTCATGTTCTTTTCGTGGTATCATCCCTTCTTCTTTTGCAGAAAATAATCCATTAGTAGATTTGATGAGTTTAATATGGTTATATTCAAATTATGCAATAATGTGATCAAGAATTCACATTCACATTCCTCTTCATAATATATTTCTTTTGAGAATCATAATATAAAATAGAATTTTACAGTAAATATGCATTAGTATTACATCACTAAACAATTCTGAACAGAAAAAAAAGTGATTATAAATTTACAAAAAAAAAGTAAAATTAAAAAAAGAAACCACCTAGAAAAAATACATTAAAAACATACAAAAGGTAGTTTTTAATTAAACAAAATAGAATTTTAACAAAATTAAAATAGATATTATTAAATTCAATATATTTAAGACTAAAAATATGTATAATTTTAAATAGTAAAGATCATTATTAAATTTTTACGCAGTCTACCTAACTTAATATATTTTCAGTTAGAATAGATCAAACTTTGAAACTTATTACTTATAAATTTATTAAACTAATCGAGCATTTTTAATTCTAATTACTAGAGTTAAACTAAAATAAACATTAAAAGAAAGCAAAATAGTAATCTCCTATAAAACTATTAATAATTAATAGCACGATATTTCAAAATGAATTAGTGAAATAAATAGATAAAAAATTATAAAAACATTTAATTAATTTTATTTTCAATTAAGAATACATTAAACAAATTAAGTAATTTATATTATTTATTTCTCTTCCGTAGGACGAGCCTTTCTAGTTTCTTATAAAAAAACAATGGAAACACTGAATGCGATAAAATTAGAAAAACATAATTACTAAAAATTAAAAACACTGAAATGGTAAAACGAGAAGAACATAAATGGGTTAATGAGTGAAGAATGTTGTTATGCGGGGTTTGCTATTTCCAAAAACTTCTCTAGGCTTGTTATATAAACAATATGTGCAACTGCTTTCAAAATCATTGAGCTTATAATTTCTTGGTGGCACTATAAAGATCATATTAATTCCATATGATAGGGACATCTCGCAATGAACAATTGATTTTCTGTTAAATAGATGTCCTAACCGTGGGGACTGCTTTGATCTTGGAAATCCAGTCCTTCTTTAGAACTGGCTGCCTTCCTCCGGTCACTAATGTCACATATGTTCGCCTCATATCAAAGATCACAGGGGCTAAGCTTGTCTCCGATTATAGGCCGATTGCTTTATGCAATGTCTCCTACAAAGTCATCACAAAAATAATTTCACTCCGACTTAAGCCTATTCTGCAAGACATCATCTCTGAAACGCAATCGGCATTCGTACCAGGAAGAGCGATATCCGACAATGTTCTTATTACACATGAAGTTCTTCACACGCTCAAAACTTCAGAAGCAGAGATCCATTGCTCTATGGCGGTTAAGACAGATATGAGCAAAGCCTACGATAGGCTTGAGTGGCACTTCATCGAGTCAGTCCTGAATCGCTTTGGCTTTGCGGCCCATATGGTAAACCTGATCATGCAGTGCGTGAGATCTGTGTCTTATTCGTTCTTAATAAATGACTCAGTGCACGGCAGTATCGTACCATCCAGAGGGATACGTCAAGGTGATCCGCTGTCACCTTATATCTTTATTCTTTGTGGAGAGGTTTTGTCCGGACTGTGTCGACGGGCACAACAGAGCGGCCATTTGACGGGACTTAAAGTAGCAACTTCAGCACCGCCACTTAATCATCTGCTGTTTGCGGATGATACAATGTTTTTCTTAAACACGGACGACAAGAGCTGCTCTTCACTGATGAAGATTTTACACCAATACAAGAGATCTTCGGGCCAAAAGATCAACACTTCAAAGTCCTCCATTTCCTTTTCAGCCAAGACCCCGCAGGTAATACGACAACGTGTTAAATTACACCTCGGGATTGATCAGGAGGGGGGAGTTGGGAAGTACTTGGGACTCCCGGAACATTTTGGAAGGCGGAAAAAAGATCTCTTCACCAGCATTGTGGACCGTATAAAGCAGAAGGCCGCTAGCTGGGCTTCTCGACAGCTCTCAAGTGCGGGCAAACTGGTCATGCTGAAGTCGGTACTCTCATCAGTCCCTTCTTATGCTATGACCTGCTTCGAACTACCGGTGAGCTTATGCAACAGGATCCAATCTGTGTTCACGAGATTTTGGTGGGACTCATCGCCGGATAAGAAAAAGATGTGTTGGGTTGCATGGGAAACAATCACAGCTCCTAAAGCAGTGGGAGGACTTGGAGTAAGGGATATTCAATCCTTTAATGTGGCTCTTCTTGCAAAACAAGCCTGGAGGATCATCTCAAAATCGGATTGTTTACTATCTAAAGTATTTCGAGGTAAATACTGCAGCAAGGCTGCATTCCTACTGGTGGAGATTCCGTCATCTGCTTCACATGGATGCAGAGGCATCTTGTAAGGGAGGGACCTGCTACTGACTAACCTGAGTAAAGTCATTGGGGATGGAGAAGGTACGAGGATCTGGAAAGACCCATGGCTGAGCGCCACTACGCCAATGCGACCCATAGGACCGGTAAAGGAGGAACACCAAGACTTAGTAGTGGCGGATTTATTGTGCAGAGGAAGCCGGGACTGGAATGTATCAAAGATTGAGAGCTTACTCCCACAATATTTATCCACTATCCTGAGAATCAAACCAAGCATTACGGGTTCTCCTGACTCCTATGTTTGGTTGGCTGCAAAGTCGGGGCTGTATTCCGCAAAATCAGGCTATTATGTAGCTGCTACATCGCAGCTGACGAACTCAACGCCCCCTCCACCCATCTACAAGGCGATTTGGTCTTGTAAATTGGCTCCAAAACTTCAGATTTTTAGTTGGAAAATAATCCAGGGAGCTATTGCCATTGGAGAAAACCTAGCAAAACGAGGCCTCCTCGCCAACGTCACTTGTCGCCGCTGCGGAGAATTCGAGACAGCTGATCATATTTTTCTCCACTGCTCCTTCTCCCGACAGATATGGTCCTCACAGATATGGAAAATAAATTTCAACCCAACAGACTGTTCAACCTTTAGCGACGCCTTCTTAGCCTCTGCAAACCAGATTAATCTTCCGCCGTTGGGAGTTGCAGGAAATTTATTCCCTTGGATTTGTTGGGGAATTTGGACAGCAAGGAACTATCTCATCTTTGAGAGCAGAGATTCTCTACCTGCTGAAATCCTCTCAAAATCCATTAGGAATGCAAGAGAATGGGACTCCGCCCAATCTTCTCTTCCCACCCTCCATAGTAAGAACAATCAACCACTGCTGGTAAATTTGAATCATGTGAATGCGGTGTGCTTTACAGATGCGGCGTGGCAGGCATCTTCAAATAGAGCAGGGTGCGGCTGGGTATTCATGGATCGTGAAAACAGACAACTCTCACGTGGCAACGCAGTTTTTAGTTATATCTCCTCACCGCTCGTCGCTGAAGCCTTAGCGATACGGTCAGCTCTTCTCAACGCCCTAGATATGGGTTTCTCAAGAATCTGTGTAAAATCAGATTGTCAAGCATTGATTGCTTATATCGCCTCGAAGTACCACCTGACGAATCTCTACGGAATCACCCGGGACATCGAGCATCTATCCCTTTCCTTTGATTATGTAGCCTTCTCCTTTATTTCCAGAAATTTGAATGTTCAAGCTGATTCCATTGCTAAATCAGCTTTGTATGTGGCCACAACCAACTGACTTCTTTTGGTCTGCGTTTGAGTAATATATATTGGGTGTTCAAAAAAAAAAAAAAGATGTCCTAACCTTGTTTCATTTGTTATTGTGATTCATACTTGTGTTTATTTAACCAACAAGCACCAGTGGTCTAGTGGTAGAATAGTACCCTGCCACGGTACAGACCCGGGTTCGATTACCGGCTGGTGCAATTTTATACTTTTTCCTTTTTAAATTTAATTAGCCATTGGGCCTTCTGTTTTGCATTCGAGCCGAAAACTAGTTAGACGAAGGCCCAATATCAATATATTGACGGTTTGTATGCGTCATAGGGTAACCTATATATAAAACACAGACGAAAACCTCTGCTCCAAGTCAGAAAACAACCTAAGGAGGATCCATGGCGAATTCACAGACTGTGATGCTTGTGATCAGATCAGCGAGGCCGAGTTTCCGAAACAACCGCGACAAGGCGGCTTTCGTAGTTCACGCTTCTTTCGTCGCCTCTGGTTTCAGACTCGTCGCGATCGGACGGCCAGCCTTCGCTGAGGACGCTCTAGCTTCATCTCCTACGCAAGGTTTGTGTTAGTTTCCTCTTTTAGGTTTTCGTTATTGTTAGGGTTTAGGATTCTCATTGTGGATTAGGTTGTTAAGCTAGGTTGGAATTTTAGGTTTTCGTTGTTAGTGTTAGTTTCCTCTTTTAGGTTTTCGTTGTTAGGGTTTAGGATTGTGATATGTGGATTTTTAGGCGAGTGTTAGTGTTTGTTTCCTCTTTTAGGTATTTATTGTTAGGGTTTAGGATTCTGATTTTGGATTTTTGTAGGCGAGGTTGGGATCGAGGGGTGGAACGAGTTCGATGAGTACGCTTTTGTCTATGCAAAAGGATTGAAGAAGTTTTTGGTCAAGTGTTTTGCGATAGATGATAAGCTTCTTGTTGATGCTGTAGCTGAGGGTGGAAAAGAACCTGAGCATTTAGAGATAGAGTATGTATACGTCTCTCTTTGTTTGTCCGTGCGTCATGGTTATTGCAATATTGAATTGACTTTGAATTATTTTGTGTTTTTTTTTTCAGAATTGAGAAGTATGTTGGTGAATCTGGAGTAGAGGGTGATTACGATGCACAATTCAAAAACTTGGGGAAACTAGTCACTGATTTGCAGGATCAGATTCTGTACAAGCTTGATGAAGGACTTAAACCTGTTGCTTCTACATCCAAGTCTAGGTAAATCCCCTTGACAACATTGTTTATAAGTTGTTACTTAGATTCATGGGGCTAGAAACGAACATTATGAGTTAAGTTGTAGTGTTACATTAAACGTAGCTTTGTTCTGATAGATGTGATTGCATAGAACTGTTTAATTCGTCAATGTGCAGAAACTACTAGTATTGTATCTCGGTTTCTGTGAATGACTTGGTTCATATAGTTCTCATTGTAAAAACTTATATTTATGTTGTGAAGATATTGTTAGTAGTTGGACTAGAATGATATATGATTTCATGATTATTAAAGTGTATTCTAAGAACCTTCATCTTTATCATATGTGGCTTGTAGTTCGGAGACTAACCAAGAATCTGAGACTGGATATTACGGAGGCCCTCCGGTGATTGGTGGTTTTGGCGATGGAAGCATGCATGTAGGACCTAGTGATACTCGCATGTTCCCCGGATTTGGTAATCATCCTGCCTTCATGATACCACCACAACCGTAAAATCTCTCTCCCCTTTCTTGCATCGTTTTCTTTCACACAAATATGCACATAAACACAAGAAAAGTTGTCAACTAAACATGGATTAATATTGGTTTTGACAGGGGTGTTCCACCTCCTGGTGTTTGGTATGATCCACGTCCACATTATGGCCCAGAGTTTGGCCCAGGTTTTGAGCCAGGCCCGTTCAGAAGGTAAGTAGTCTAATTTTTTATTATTGAACAAATATATTCCACACTCAAATTTGTTATCTGACGCATGTCTGTCTAAATCTTGATAGGCAACTTCCAAGTAGGCCAGCGGATGTTCATCCTGATCTTCAGCATTTTCGCCACGGCTCTGGTTCAGATAATATGTAGCCATCTTAAAAAAGAAGCTCAAGAAAATGATCTTATATTTGCTTTGCTTTTAGTCAAGATTTTCCTAGCTGTTTATTTATTTCTTTGGTTTTTTGTTGCATAGCTGCTTATGTTTATAACTTTGATATATATATATATATATAAATAAAGTTTTGGTTTATTTCGCTTTTGAAATTCCCTCTGGTTAGCGTCTGAATCAATTCGTTCTTGATAGTTCAAGAACTAGAGCATCATCTCAACTACTATGCTTCTGGTTGTATGAATTTATATATCGATTATCGATGCTTCTTAGTGGTCGTTCCAAACGATCTCACGCATAGATTGTATAATTGTTGTTTTAGTGTGTTAAAACTTGTTTAGGTTTCCATTTTAAGGAACCGTTGAAATTTAGTTTTCTCAATGTATTGTTGTTATCGTGCGTTGGTCTTAGAGATGTTGTTGCCTCTGGCGCCCAAAGGCCCATTTCGTTTCAGTCAGAGTCAGAGCGTCATGTATCGTCGTCCCTCATTCGTTTTCTCCACTAGAAGAAAAAAAACGGTTTGGCAATCTCAATCGAGCCTCTTGTAACCCAATTTGACTGGCCGGCCTTTGTTTCTGAGCTAGTTTTGTTTCGCCTTTTACGAGCAGTTTTACGGGGTTTAGCATCTCCTATATCTTTTTTTTTTTTTTTTATATCCTTTTTTTTTGTGAAATTTTGCATACAGATTTTCTTGATAAGGAGGCGATATGTAGTGGTTTCCTTTTTACTCATGTAAATCAGACTCGGTCGGAGCAACGTCTATTCGGAACGTCTTTCTCGTGACAAACAAATGACAGTGTGAAACGGGAGTCAGCAAAAAAAAAGAAGGCAAAAAGGAGCTCCTTTCCTTTGCCAAACAAAAATCCTGCAGAAGTTCGACTATTACCAGAGCATGTTTAAGCTAGCCCATTAATATGAGGATATGCCCTACTATTCTTCTCAGTATGATAGTATCCACAGGCCTAGCTACTTTCTCCTCTGTCTCAATTCACAAACTTTCTACAAAAAAATGGCTAATCTCACAATAATGATAAGCTAAAAACTAAAAACTAAAAAACACGTGTTACATCTATCTCTCTAAGTAAAAGTCTAAGTTATGTATTTAAAAAATTGTTTGCCCAAAAAAAAAAGTAATTTTTCTCTATGCCTTTTTGTTTTGTTTTGATAAAAGCTGGAAATTTTTCTTATAAAATATTCCCGTATTTGTCCCATTAGTCAGTCACCAATTGAGAAGGCTTTTCCATCCAACTGTCCATGTGATTTCTTTAACGTGGAACTTATTTTAATTGTGTTTGGATTTGTAAAAATTTGTTTAAACGAACCCACCGCAAGTTCATGTGAAGATCACGTGGAGTGGTTCCAGCGGAAACTGAACGAAAATAATTGACATAATCAGCAATAAAACCAAACATTATAGCAAGAATCTCCCCATTTCTTTGTGTGTGTCTGCGTCAACAACAACTATGGAACTTCATTTATTGGTATGATTTCAAATACAAATACAACCAAGAGAAAAAAAAAAAGTTTATTTGATTAAAAGCATAAATTGCGATTATTATTTTTGATCGAACATATGAGATATAAGAGAGTCTTTTGTTTAGTCCTTGACAACGGTGACAGGGCAAGGGGCGTGTTGAATCACAAAGCTGCTGACGCTTCCCATTATTATCCTGTTTCAATATTTAAGCTAATCAGTCATCTACACACTTGGAAAAATTTTCATTACACAGTTGCAGGGAAACAATGTTAATCTTGGAATAATCATGAAAAAAAATGAAAAACATGCATGTTAAAAGAAGGCGTAACCATTGATTATATTTCAGTTTTTGAAAGAAAAACAATTTATTAGATTTTCTAAAAAAAAAAAAGGTTTCAAAGCGAAACCTAAAACATAATCAACTTTTGGTTTTTACATATCAACTTAACTAACTTTTGGTGGGAAGTCATTGTCATAGAAGCTTTATTTAGTTAAAAATTTTCTACGTCTAAAAAAATAAATATCTTAACCAAAATGCTAACTAATTTGATTAAGTTCAGCCTAATTAAAAAGTAAAGAGCCAAACAAAATGACATGGTTTTAAGATTGTAAAACCGTGCACTCAAAGTCCTATCCTATCTGGTATTTCCGTATTTGACATAACGAATTATTTTAATAATGGACCGACTTTAATAATTTGATTATATCAATCCCATTTACGTTATAAATTTCGTATACGATAATATAACCATGCAATCAACAAAATTAAATGGCATTTTGGCATGAAAGCAACTAAAATAAATAATTTAAGAAAGACCTTTGAAGAGCACTGAGTCCTCTGCTTCCCATCACAATAGAATCAAGTTTGAGAGATTTAACAGCATCAACCAGCTTCTCTCTTGCATCTCCCCAGTATAGTTTCGTCACTACATGAATCTATTTCCATTTTATATTATAACCAAAGGTTTCAAAAAACAACAATTTATTTTGATTAGGTCAAGAAATATATTTGTAAAAATAAACCTCTTTCTGCCTCGAACCAGTGTCGAGCATGTCAAGAACTGGGATATCGATTTTGACACCGTATTTCTCCATAGTCTCTGGTTCCCTAAACTCAACCAATGGTATGAGAGCTACAGCACCATATTAAAACCGGATTAAACCGACAGTTCATATCACAAATTATTTAAAAACCGGATGGCTAAAAAGAAAAGACTTACGAGAACCGGATTTGAGCCAAAGGGAGTTACGTGGTCCAGCTTCAGAAGTTGGTAACGCGTGGATGATGTAAAATGTGTCTCCTTTATCAGCTAAGTTATCGATCGCCCATCTAAGTGCGTTCTTGCTGCTCTCCGAGAAGTCCATGGCCACTCCGATCTTCCTGTCTTTAGGCATCTTTCTTGGCTTTCTGATGAGTTTTTCAGGCTTTTTTAGAGAGAGATTGTGAGAAGATTAGCTTATGGCTTCGAATGTTAATGTTATAACTTATAACATTTGAAAAGGAGAGAAAGAGAAACCAATGATGAAGTTTCCTGGATGCTTTGTCTGTTCTAGGATCCACACTGGTTACATCAGGGCCGTCCATTTTTAAAATATGAGATTTTGTTGTAAATGATAAACTATTGCTGACAAAAAAAATGATAAACTATTAAAATTGGTAATATTTTAAACGTTTATTAATCATTAAGTAACAAACCATTAATATACAATTAACTTTCAGCAACTTTGTTGAATATATGAATTTTTCAATTTTATATAGAGCTAATATTTCCACATATACATCAACTTTTTAAATGAAATGTATCATATACTATTTCAACAGGACATTAACATTTCTGGTAATGATTTTTAATTCATTAAATGAATTGTTTCATCCGTTGGATTAGGATGGACATGTGATTGGTGAGTTGTAAGCAGAGGGTCATAAATTAAATATACTTTTTATGCATTTTCCAAAATTAAGATACATGCTCAACAATAGTCGTTTGCAGCATTGAAATTTCAGGATTCCTTTCTCGTGAAACAGATCCTAAATACAATGTAAGTCTCCAGCACCGGTAAAAGGAGTTTTCTTTAGGTCCAAAATCTATACTAGTTACGTACTAATCAGTACTTAGACCATGTTTATAGAGGTCTCTTAGAAGGGTTGTTAAGCATAATTCGAAATAAAAATAAAAGATGGGTGTACATAGACCATGTTTCATCACACTCAATACGATGTTTCGGATTTCCAACAAAGAGAAGGGAGCGGAAGTTCAGATGTTGATCTCACATATTCAACAGATATCCCTATAAATATCTACAATTAGATGGGTGTTCGCATAAGAATTTGTGATAAACAAACGCATCAAAAACTGAAATGTGATTTGGTTAAGCATATATGGCATAAATTTGGACGTGATCAAAACAACAACTGCACTTGGATGCCGTTTTCAAATTATTATTGTTTATTTTAGTTATCTTTATTTTTAAGTTTTTGTTTTCAAATCTATGTTTAAAAGGTTATGTTTGACTTTGTTTCATTTAATAATAAATTTTAGCTTTTAAAAAAAAATTATATTTAAATTTAATATTTTTTATTGTTAAGAACTTTAATTAAGAAATTACTAATAAACCATCATAATTAATTGTATCTTAACAAACTTCTTTAGCTTAATGATAATAGTTAAATAATCACAATGACCCACTTAAGCAACTCTTTAGAGTATTACTAATGAAAATGCTCTTAGTATAGAAACAAAACAAAGATGGTAAAACCACCGTTGTTTTTGTGTTTCTATATCGTGATGACTAATGACTTTTTATTGATTTGCCAAAGATGATGACTGATGTAGGTCTGCTTCTGGATCCAACACCTTCAAGTGGTCTATAATCATATTAGCCATGAGTTGAAATGACAAAAGTGTTTTTTTCATGTACGTTTCTAGGTTTTCTATGTTTGAATGTATTTAGGGTTTATAGTGATTAAAACCTCCAACTATTAAAACGAATAAAAAATCTTCAACTAAAATTTTATGTTTTTAAACCTCCAACTATTAAATCGTTAATGCCGTTAACCTTCCGTTATCAAAATCGTTTTTTCTTAACGGAGACCCGTTATCGAAACACCGCGTTTCATGTAATTCAAAAACGACATAAGGTTCTTACTATCAATATATATTTTAGGGATTTAAACCTCCAACTATTTTTAAATCGGATAGAAAACCTCCAACATAAAATTTATATTTTTAAACCCTCAATTATTAAATCTTTATTGCTTTTAACCCTCTGTAAACAAAGTCATATTTTCTGAATCAGAAACCATTAAATTGAAACACGGAGTTTCATGTTCATATAAACGATATAAAATGTTTAAACCCCCTATATCAATGGGAAATGACAATTACAATTCATCCTTTCCTTTTCATCAAATGTGAGGTAAGTCCAAAAATTCTATTGTTTCTAATTTTAGGATATGATTGTATGGCACTTCTGACAATATATTTTAAGTGTAAAACATATTTA